AAAAAAAAAAACAAACAACTAAACCCACTGCCACTGAGTTGATTCTGACTCAGTGACCCCCACTAGGTTTTTCCAAAGCAGTAAATCTTTAAGGAAATAGATAGCCCCATCTTCCTTCCACAGAGTGGCTGGTGGGTTTGAACCACCAACCTTCTGGTTAGCAGCCAAATGCTATAGGCATTGCGTCACCAGAGCTCCTTATACAGAATGGCAAGAGGCCCCAAACACCTAAAGCAGTGTTGAAAGAGAAGAACAAAGTAGGAATCATACTTCCTGATTTTAAAACACACTATTCAGCTACAATAATCAAAACAGCCTGGTACTGGTATAAGAACAGAAACATAGACCAATGGAATGTAATTGAGTATATAAATAAACCCACACACCTATGGCCAACTGATTTTTTACAAGGGTACTAAGTCCATTCCATAGGGAAAGAAGAGTCTCTTCAATAAATAGTACTGGGAAAACTAGATTTGTACATGCAAAAAAATGAAACAGGATCCATGCCTCACATCATACATTAAAAATAAATTAAAAATTGATTAAGAACCTAAATGTACAAACTAAAACCATAAAATTTTTTTTTTAACTTTTTATTGTGATTTGGGCAAAAGTTTACAGAGAAAAGTAGTTTTCCATTCAACAATTCACACACAGTTTGTTTCATGTCATTGATTGCAATCCCCTCAATGTAATATCACTTCTTCTACATCTTCCCTGTGTTTCTCCTTTCCATTCCTCCTTCTCTCCTAATCCTCCCTGTTGTCTGAAATTTGTCCCTGGGCAAATGCTCCACTCTTGGTCTCAAATGGTTGATTGTTCTAAGGAGGTGCCTACCTTCCTAGAGTTATTGTTCACCTTGTAACTCTATTATTTGACTGAAAATTCAGCTATAAGAGTGAGCTCAGTTCTAGGGTGAAAGAGTGACCAAGGGCTATATTCTTGGGGTTCCATCAGTCTCTATTTGACCAGTAAAGCCTGGTCTTTTTTTTTTTTTTTCATTAATAATTTTGAGTTTTGTTCCACATTTTTCTCCCACTCTACCCAGGATCTTCTAATGTGACCCCTTTTCAGAGCAGCAATAAAAACCATAAGATTCTTAGAAGAACAAGGAGGGACAATGCTGCCAGACCTAGCTTTCAACAGTAAATTATCCAATAAAATAACAAGCACAAGCAGCAAAAAATAAAATAAATGGGCCTGTGTAAAAATTTAAAACTTTTTCATGAAAAAGACCAGGCTTACTGGTCTGATGAAGACTGGTAGAACTCCTGAGACTATGGCCCTGAGACACCCTTTCAAGCTAGGAACTGAACTTAACCCCATGACTCAAATGTCAGCTAAATGATGGACGTCTATAGTAAACAGTAGTATCAGGAGGGTATGCACTCATTATAATAATCAAGCATATGAGATAAAGAGGACAGCATTTGCCCAGGGACAGAGCTAGGAAGATGGGAGGTGATACAAAAGAAGGACAAAGGGAAGGGGTTAGTGCAGGGAGCAAGTAGAAAGAATCCTGTACAATGTAGGGATTGCAATAAATGTAAAAAAAAAAAAAAAAACAGAATGTGTATAGATTGCTGAATGGAAAACCAATTTGCTCTGTAAACTTTCACCCAAATCACAACAACAACAACAACAAAAATTAAAACTTTTGTTTATCAAAAGGCTTTACCAAGAAAGTGAAAAGAAAAGCTATTAACTGGAAGAATATTTTTGGAAACCATATAATCTGACAATAATCTAATAACTGAAATATATATAAAACTTCAACAACAAAAAGACAAATAACCCAATCACAAAATGGGCAAAGGACAAACAGACATTTCACCAAAGACGACATTCAAATGGCCATAAAACACATGAAAAGATGCTCATCGTCCTTAGCCATCAGAGAGATGTAAATCAAAATCATAATAAGATACTATTTCACTCCCATGAAGATGGCCAAGATAAAAAAACAAAACAAAACAGAAAATAACAAATGTTGGTGAGGATCCAGGGAAAATGGAATCCTTATCGATTGCTGGTAGGGATGCAAAATGGTACAGCCATTGTGGAAAACAGTGTGAGGTTCCTCAAAAAACTAAAAATAGAACTACCACATGGCCAGCAATTCCGCTTTGAGGGATATACTCCAAAGACTTGAAAGCAAAGACACAAACAGAGACTTATACACCAATGTTCACTGCAGGACTATTCACAATAGTCAAAAGGTGGAAACAACCTAAATGCCCATTAGCAGATGAATGGATAAATAAAATGTGGTACAAACATACAATGGAATACTACTCAGCCAGCAAAAGAAACAAAGTCTTGATACATGTTATAATATGGATGGAGCTTGAAGGCATTATGCTATCTGAAATAAGTCAATTAACAAAAAAATAAATATTGTATGACCTCACTTATTGGCAAAAGTTGTATGATAGTTATATTTACAACAACAAAAAATAAATAAATAAAGAGTAGTTGCTGAGGTTGCTTATATATAATCAAACACCTCCTGGGATTTGGTTCCTCACTTTGGAGGTTTAGGGTCATGGTTTCATTGGTCATCCCAGTTAACGGGCCTACTAACATGTTTAGTGCTTCTGTTGTTCATTAGTTGTTCATTCTGTTGTTCACTAGTTCATTGTGTAGTGCTTGGGGTCTTAAAAGCTTGCAAGTGGCCAGCCATCCAAAG